GCAGAGAAGTGTAGTGTAGCGATAGGTGGTGGCAGCTAGCGCTGCCATAGCTGTAGCATAGCGTGTGTGTGTGTTGCGTATGATACTGAGTGTTGCGTGTGGGACATCCAGGGTGATCCAGAGTGCGAACAGTGAGTTGTGTGGGCGCCCAGTCGCCATAGCCAGTTGAAGAGAACTCATATCTGGTTACGATATCTTAAGTACTGTCAGGGCGCATGTCGCCAGTTGCTGTATCGCTGTTTGCATGCAAGACAAGTGTGAATAATCGGAGTGTGAATGCACGTGAGCCTCCAGGCTCTTTCCAGAAGTAAGGGCTGCGCTGTACAGTTGAGACCAGGGCTCACGTGGTTGCGCCCTGGGCACACGCTGTGTGAGGCCAACACATCATGGACTGGCCGCGGGCCAATGAGAGAGCAGCATTGTCGTCACACATGAGCTGGGAGACAATGAAAACGCTGCGAACACTTGGAGACTGGGTGGCTGCCTGAACAAGCCTCACTGCACGAGACCCAAGCCAGTATCGGAACCCGGGCCTGGGCGCAGACACTTGAGGCCAGAAGCAAGCTACTGGGCCCCCCACACGCCTGGCCAGGCCAGCCAGCAGCGGGCACGCTTTCCATAAAGGAAAGTGTGTGCCCCAGTGGCAGGGCATTCTGGCCTGTGCAGGCACTGCGGTGACGCTGCTGCAATGTCATGTGAAGCTGCGCTATGCAGGCAGTCTGGGGCACGCACGGGCGCTGGGTAGTGAAGAGGGCATTGCGGTGACAGTGGCGCACGCAGGCCATAGCCGGGCCGGCCGAGTGTGCCGGTACAGGTGTTGCCGATGGTGGTCTTCGGGTAGGAGGAGCATGCGGAGTGGGCGACGAGGTGAGATGAGGGGAGGAGAGAGCACGTACCTGGTGTATGCTGGCGGTCGGCATCGGCGATGACGTCAACGTACATTGGTCTTCAACTGCGAAGTGATCTGGTTGTGAGAATGTAGATAGGCTAGATAGGCTGAGTTGAGTAGGCTGGGCGCCGAGCGCCGGATAGTAGGGGTTGACAGTGGAAACTGTGTTGGTGTGACCAGAGTGTGGAAACATCGACACAAGAGTTCATTGTATTGCTCTTATTTGCATGGTATCTTGGTGCATTGTGCTCTTGTCTTGGTACACGACTGTCTGAGCTACTTCCTGATTTTGCAACTTGGTTTTCTGTCTATCGCTCCCTCTCATAATACTTGCACGACAGCTGTATCCATTTCTCCTAAATGTGCTGAAAGAAAAAAGGTTGGTCACTGGTCAGACCTTTGATGAAAGTGGAGTTTGCATCACGCGCTGAGCATCTTGAGAACCGGAGCAGCGGAAATTCGTCATTGCCTCTGGAAGGTGCTACTAGCGATTTAACATCATTTTCACCCATCTGTTAGGTCTCATGGTGTATTCACACCAGGAGTTCACAGCCTGAATCTAGCAATAGTTACAGTACAACCATATACCTTCAGGCCGAGTCCTGATGTGAGAATGACCTTTTGAGCAAAGTTGAGAGCTTAGCAGGAAGACAGCATCCTGTCCTCCGAGAAATCCGTTAAAATTGGAGCGGCACAGAGAAGATTGGCATCGCCCCTGTACAAGGATGAGACACATAAATCGAGAAATGGACCAAACGCCAAATGGTCTTTTCTAAGTTTTCCTTTTTTTTGGAATTAATGACAATAAAGCAAGCCAGCATCCTACCAGATTCTCCCATCCATGACAGGGAGTAGGATTCGAAGTTCATTAACAGTGCCAACTTACTGAGTGTATGTGACTTGCTGGTGGATGGAAGAACCGCATTGACAACCCCTTGCACCTCCCCCCTCCCCCCGCCCCCCCCCCACACGTGCACACACACAAAAAAAGAAGCACAAGGGGTCTTCCGACCTTCTGTATGCAGTCGCGTATTGATGCAGAAGGATTTGCCCAGGCCTTTGGTATATCGATTACTTGCAAATCCTGGACTGTACAGCGATATAGCACTTGAGCAATCGCCTGGCACTGCAAGTACAATCAAGCGGATGCCAGTGGATGCCAGTGGATGGTGATTTGTGAGTGAAGTTGAATGTTGCTTGGAGCTTTCTTGCAAGCTCCCTCTAGGGTGACGTGGCGGTCTGAGGACGCATGTGGAATTAATTACCTGATCATAGGATATGTCACCACCGTGGCTGCAGTCTTCGATAGTGCGCCAATCAAAAATGCTGCAAAAGCTGAAAGAGCAACAGGTGGCAGTTTCATTTGTCTGTTTCCAGCCACGCTTGATGCCCTCCGCAAATTGTCTTCCCAGCGCTTCTGCCGCTGAATCATCAACACCCTTGCCCGCAGCTGCTCAAATATTGTGTACTGAGGAGAAATTTGGAGATTTACAGAAAAGACATCAACTGGGTTAATATTACTGAATACAAACCAACTTTATGGTAACCCGATAATAACTAGATGACCTGTTGCGGCTTCGCTCGCAAAAACAAATATGACAGCTGATTCATTCAGGGTGGAGGCAACTGATCGAGGCAATCTCTCTCTCTCTCTCTCTCTCTCTCTCTCTCTCTCTCTCTCTCTCTCTCTCTCTCTCTCTCTCTCTCTCTCTCTCTCTCTC